CTCATCCCGATGTTACACTTATCAAGAGCTTTCATTTGAGTACCCATATGCATTTTTGATATATTTTTCATATATACATTTATATAATATATATAAATATATGAAAAGTTGATGTGGATATTCAAATGAAAGGTCTCGATAAGTGTAATGTTGTAGTGAACTTGTATCATTAAAAATAGCAATAGTTCACCAGATACGAGGTAATTTCTTGATTATGTATCTAAAGATAGAGCATTTTCGAATGCAGCCTTAATTCCTATCATAATAAACACTATTGACTATTGGTGAGAATGATATGAAACCTTGAAAAGGCACAACTCCAGGTCAAGACCTTTCTAATGATACCAAACTCAACCATAAAAACCCATTTTATCATATAAATGCACTGGCCACAAAATTTTTCTTATTCTCTTAATAATATAGATTATTATTATTATTATGATAATTATTATTGCTGTTTTAAATATTATTGCCTGCCTCATGAAAGTCATGCTGCTGTCACAGGAAAATCATGTGGCAGCTATATGGAAAAAATCATGTGGCTGCCACAGGAAAATCATGTGGCAGTCACATGAAAATCATGTTGCAGCCACATGAAAAAATCATGGGGCTGCCACAGGAAAATCATGTGGCAGTCACATGAAAATCATGTGGCAGCCACATGAAAAAATCATGTGGCTGCCACAGAATGTATCATGTGGTAGCCCCAATTTTTTTTTTGCGTGTAAAAGAAATTTCATTGTTTCATAGGATTCTTTCATGTTAGCACCATAACCTACCGGTACGGAGGGAAGATTATTGCCATTGTGTAACAAAACTGCCTTTAAGCTTGTTTTTGAAGCATCGATAAATAAACGCCACTCTTCAATTTTGTACTGTATTCCCAAAATATTCATAACACCACAGACATTGTTACATAATATTAAATCATTATCTTGTGAAAAAAAGCTTTTTAACTCTTCATCACGATGCCGAAAAAAAGTTATTTTTGTGTTTGGTTGCAATAAATTCCATCCTTTTAATCGAGATCCTAAAAGTTCTCCTTGTTGTTTAGACAAGTGTAAATCACGAACTAAGTCATTAAGATCTCCTTGAGATAGTAGGTGTGGCGTTTCTTCCTTGAGACAGATACACGGGAAAAAAATTGAAGGAGTTATTACTATTTTACTATTGTAATTTTTACTAAATAAAATAGTAACGGTGGACTATACTTCTCATTTAGTAATTTTTACGATCTACTATTGTAAATTTTATCCAACAAATAAGACTAGCAAGAGTTTTAAAAAGTCGTATACTATAGAGCAAATTATACAATATGTGTTTGTGAACTTTACAATTCAACTATTGTAAAAATTCACAGTTGGTTTTTTTAAAAGAAATATTAGGGAGGGAGAGAGATAGAAGGTTGCACGAATTGGTACCTGTACAGTAATCGAAAAAAGAAACAAATATTTTCGTGCTATCTGGGAATCGAACCCAGAACTCTGTGTTGGTAGCCAGAGACTCTCCCTTTAGGCAGAGTCGGTAAACTAAGACTCATGTCCTTTAACATTTATATAAAAACTCAGAGTCTAGCGCTGTGCACGGCCATCACTCACACTAATTGAGAGACATTCCAATTCAACTATTGTAAAATTCGCTATAATTCTATTGGAAAGATACAGAGGCAGCACTGGAAATTTTCATCTCTTACTTTTTAAAATAGTAATATCGTATTTTTTCATTAATAAATAGTATTTTTTCTTCTAAAATATTTGATAATTAATAGTAATAAAGGTATAGTCCAGCTTTACAATAGTTATATCGTAAATTTTCCCAGAAATTTTTTCCCGTGTAGATGAAGAAGAAATTTGAAAATCAGGATCAGTACTTTTATTATCTGTTTCCTCTGATTCAGTTGAAAGATCAGAGCGTTGAGGTGGTTCTGGTATAGGTAATTCTTCACTGTGAGGAATCGGTTTTTTAGCAGATGACACATCAGGGTACTTAATTTTTTTTTTAGTTTTAATTGTAATGCCTTTTGTATTAGTTAGACAAAAATAACAATTAGTTAAATGGTCTGTCGGTTCCATCCAAATCATCGGAATTCCAAAAGGCATAGATCGAGATCTTTTTTCCCATCCTGTAAGAAGTCCCACACTTTATCTTGCTGGCCAACAGGAAAACCGAAATAACTTTCATACAATTTTTTTATTAAAGGTGTTAAATTTCTTCGTTGAGATGTAAAAGTAATTTCACCACAAATGTAACAGAACTTGTCAGGTTATCTACTATCACTAGATTGAAGATGATGTTATCTCTAATCCACGCAATTATATGCTTCGTTCAAAATCGATTCTCGAAATTAACAATAATTTTTTTTTTTTTTTTTTTTTTTTTTTTCTTCAGAACATATACTTCATTCAAGAACTAGTTTTTTTTATTAAAAACAGCAGAAAAAAAATTTTTTTTCACTTCATTACATTTTATACGGTATTTCAATTTATTGATTTTAAAAGTAATTTCTTGAGTTACAAAAAATAATATTTGAATTTTGAAAGTTATATTACTCTTGAATCAATTTTGAAGTGAAACTGTTATGAAGTTTTGAAGTAAAAAAAAAATTCATTTTTATTATCTTAATTTTCGTTCAAGAAAGGGAACGATTTAATCTGTTAACAACAAACATTGAAAATTTCCGAAAATTACTAAACAATTTATTTCAGTAGATCAAGAAAGAATGAAGCATTTATCGAATCTCGATTCGGCGTTCCAAGAATCTGAATGCTGTTTTGGTTTTAAGGGAGATAGCCATTGTGACGGCTAAAAAAAAGTAATCAGGTTTTTTTTCTATAAAATTCACATTGGGGATTAATATCCTAAATTTTTATTAAGTAGTATCAAATTGCTGCAAAGTTTTTAACATTCTGTCAAGCCCCAAGAAAAATTTCCCCTTCATAGTTGTACCGTTATCTCGAAAAAAAAAATTTTCTTCTAAATTTTGATCTAAAATTTCATACACAATATTTTAAATATATAAGCTTTGATTAAAAGCAAAAAAAAATTTGTCGGATTCATCACAGTGGCTATCCCCCTTAAGAATTTTTTTTCCATTATTTCAGTAAGTTTTTACATTCCTAAGGTAATTGAAGAAAAACATATTTTGCAACTGACCTGTTTACTAACTTTAGTAGCACATATTGCAGTAGTTAAAATAGGAAAAAGTCGTGCAGTAATCCAAGCAATATTACCGATGCGTCTCACAATGACATCATCAGTTGGATATATTTTCAGGAAAGGCGTTAATAAATCATAAATATTCAAAATAACACAGACGATTGAATAAGGAATTATAAAAAGAAAGCCAAAAGAATAAAAGTCAGCGATATCAGAGCACATTTTGCATAAAATTGTGTGACAACGTTTTAATGCAAATATTTCAATAATACTTGTTTTTTCAAGTGTATTTTTTTGAATATTGTAAACACGAAACTGTAACTCGATGGATTTCTTCATCCTTAAAAAAGCGTCATTACAACACTTTAATTTTTTTTCAATAAGTGTCAAAACAATTGCGTATTGTATGACAAAATAATTGAATACAATGGTATGAAAAGTGTACATACAAGTTGCACGAATAAATGACGCCTCAATAAATAAAGTAAAGAGTGCAATAATAACACACGGTATTGTATTTATGTAGCAAATTAATATTATTTCCATTTTATCACTCTCTAATTGATAGATGTTGTGCAATTTTTTCATTGCGACATCTAAATCTAAAAGCTGGTTTCCCAATTTTATTATTTTTTGTCGTTGAACGATGTATAACAATAACATGATTATCAACACTCCGTTACCACTTACGCTAATGGCCAAACTTAATGTTTCAGTCAGTTCATTGCCATCTCCTGAATAACGCTCTTTTATGAACAAAGGAATCTGGATACTATTACCAATAACAATTATTATTATAAGAACCAGACTGTAACACGTATGAATTTCGGTGGGAACTAATGTTATTGTGTCTGGTCCAAACTTTTTTTTGTCTACGACATTTGTATTCTTTTTGTATGAAAAAGGTACAAGTCCGAGAAAATAAAAAATTACGAGATGTATTTTTATAAAAGCCATTTTATTCGTTTATATTCAAGAATATGATGACTACTGTTTAGATAGTTTTGTTTTTATAAAATAGAATAGTTCCCTTACAAAATTTTAATGTAGTAGAAAATAATTTGCAAAGAACGATCAATACAAAGATAATAGCTTTGCTATTTGCCTAATGAATAAATCAATGTTTAAGGATCTAAATTGTATATACGATAAATAGTACAGGCTTATAAATGTGCCACCTGTCGGATGTAATGATTGATTTGTAATCTTCTTAAGTGCTTTCACTGAGGCATTTAATCGAAACAATGGAAATTTTTATACATCATAAAGATTGTTTTTTGTTTCTCGAATTAAAATAAGCACAGTGAATAAAAAAAAAGTTAGGAAAACGGTTGACCCTGAGGGCCATCCCCGCAATTTCCCGCTAATTCCATATCTAAGCGCTTAAAATTGCACTTATGACGTTTTTGAGCTCTTCGAGTTTAAAAATATAATTTATGTGTTATTTTGAGCTCTCCGAGTTTGAAAAGTTAGCTCTTCTATGCTTTTGAACTCTTCGAGTTCAAAAGCCTGATAGAAGTTTAATAACACACTACACGGAGAGAAATTTATAGGAATCTTTCCAATAATTACGGGAATGGATCCTATAATAAAATTATCATTATAGGCATTAATCCTATACTCATTATGGAAACCATACCCATAATTTATTGGAAACGTTCCTATACAATAATGGAATAGCTTCAATATATTATGGGAATGGTTCCTATAATATTATGGGAATGACGCACATAATGATAGAAAAAAGTTTATTTTCTTAATAATGAAGCAATCACTTCAAAAATATAAAGTAATTATTATGTAGTTTTTTGCTAATAAAAGTTTTTTTTGTAAATAAAAATTGATCTTTCACTAGATTGAAAAAATTTCTTTTTCATAATTTTTATTCACGTGTGTACTTAATCTTGAATTATTTATTCCAACTCAGTTATTATTGTGTTAAATAATATTGAAAAATATTGTAGCAATTCCAAAGTTTCTCTAATAAAAAGAATATTTTCTCACTATACAATTGTAGAAGCAAAGTAGATATAGAAATTCATTGTTTATTTTCACAATTTCATTTTATTTTCAAAGCAAATTATTTATTTAGAATACATACGTTGAGCCGCGAAAACATTTGAAAATTTGGAATGTCAAAACAATTGGAAATTTTATTTTATTTAAGAAATTTTTTTTTTAA